GGCTCATATTCAGCCAAATGCTTCACAACTCATTGGACGCTTCACAGTGCAGATGGACAATGACCCAAAGCAGACTGCAAAAGCAACCAAAGAAGTGGAATGTTCTGCAATGGCCAAGTCCATCACCTGACCTGAATCCGATTGAGCACTTCACTTGCTGAAGACAAAACTGAAGGGAAAAATGCCCCAAGAACAAGCAGGAACTGAAGACAGTTGCAGTAGAGGCCTGGCAGAGCATCACCAGGGATGAAACCCAACGTCTGGTGATGTCTATGCGTTCCAGACTTCAGGCTGTAATTGACTGCAAAGGATTTGCAACCAAGTATTAAAAAGTGAAAGTTTGATTTATGATTATTATTCTGTCCCATTACTTTTGGTCCCTTAACAAGTGGGAGGCACATATGCAAACTGTTGTAATTCCTACACCGTTCACTGATTTGGATGTAAATACCCTCAAATTAAAGCTGACAGTCTGCAGTTAAAGCACATCTTGTTTGTTTCATTTCAAATCCATTGTGGTGGTGTATAGAGCCAAAAATGTTAGAATTGTGTCCATGTCCCAATATTTATGGACCTGACTATATGTGAAGCGCTGCGTACATTGAATAAAAAAAATAAATAAAATGAAAATTTTGGCAGGCGTTTCACCTCGAACCCCCCAGTTGCCTTTACAGTGTACGGAAGGGCCCGAGGTCAGAAAGATGACGTCATCCCGTAGACCCCCAACTCTAGTCTGCTAAAATTGGAAGTCTCTTTCCATCAGCTGCAGGCAGGATGGCCCCCCATGGAGACCATACGAAGGGGGATATGCTCACGTACACGATGCGTGTTACTTCCATGTCTTTGTAATAATATCTGGAAATAAAAACCGTCTGTGTGACCGCAAGCTAATTTTACAGCAGGCGGTGAGAGAGAGGTAGAAAGGGGGGGGGGTTACAATAACCCGGCATTCCTCGAATGACCCCAAATTCCTGTCTGGCGGTGTTATCGCAGGCACGCGGCGGCCTGATTCCAATTACACAGACTTCTGTAATATCTGTAATATTATCTCATAACCCGCCCGTCTCCATCAGTTTTATTTCTAAAAATACACATTTTTAAAAAAAATTTGATCCTATAGGTTCCCTCCCCCCCCCCCCCAGGACTGAGAAGGATGACCTTGGAACAATTCAGGACGATTGAAGTGCTGAAAAAAAAAGTTGAGTGAAAACAGGTCAAACTTTATCAAAGTGATGAGAGTTCTCAGCAAAGATTTTTTTTTTTTTTAATTTTGACAGCGCGCTTACATTTTTTTTCTTTGGTGAAGATCAAATTTAAACATCAAATCACATCCAAGCAGCAGGGAGCTGTCATTTGTTAAATTTGCACTTCAGGCAAGGTTTGGGGTAATTTTGTTTGTACGTCTATATATAAGCGTAATAATCTGGTGTTTCAACTTTAGGATTTATTACATCATTAAAAATATTTCATTTAAATTGTAATAAATATTACAAATATTTAAGTTAATATTTAAAAAAAAAAAAAATTAAATAAATATTAAAGTAAATATGTAAAAAAAATACAAATAAAAAATAGAAAACTAGCCACTTCAGAGGGATTTTGTATGGTCGTCTGTATATACTGTAAGCGTATAATCTGATGTTCAATGTAAATATTTATTTAATGGATTTAAAATATTTAATTTAAATTGTAAATATTTTATTACAAATTTATTTAAGTTAATATTTATTTTTTATATTTTTTTTTTTTTAAAAAAAATATAATTTAAATAAATATTAAAGTATAAATGTAAAAAAAAAAAAAAATAGAAAACCAAATTTTCAGAGGGATTTTATTTTGGTCGTAAATATATATACTGTAAGTTATAATTTTGATGTTCACTGTTAAGATTTATTTTATTGTATTTTAAAATATTTTTTTAAATTTGTAATATTATTACAAAAATTTAAGTTTTATTTTAAAAAAATAATTTAAATAAATATTAAAGTAAATATGTAAAAAAAATACAAATAAAAATTTTAGAAAACCAATAGGGATTTTGTATTAATTCGTTATATATATATACTGTTTATTATAATCTGATGTTCAATTAAATATTTTTTTAATGGATTTTAAAATATTTAATTTAAATTTAATAGTTAATTATTACAAATTTTTAAGTTAATATTTAAAAAAAAAAAAATAATTTAAATAAATATTAATTTATAAATATTATAAAAAAAAAAAATATAGAAAAACCAGCCATTCAAATTATTTTGTCTTTCGTCTATATATAATGTAAGCGTATAATTGAAAAATTTAACTGTTAAGATTTATTTATTGGATTTTAAAATATTTCATTTAAATTGTAATATATTATTACAAAAATTTTAAGTATATTTTAAAAAAAAAAATAATTTAAATAAATATTAAAGTAAATATTTAAAAAAAATATTTAAAAAAATTTTAGCCACTTCAGAATATTTTATTAATATTCGTCTATATATACTATTGTTATAGCGTATAATCTGATAAATTCAATGTAAATATTTATTTAATGGATTTAAATATTTAATTTAAAATTATTTTTAATATTATTACAAATATTTAAGTTAATATTTAAAAAAAATAATTTAAATAAATATAAATAAAAATAAATGTAAAAAAAAAAAAAATATAAAAACCAGCCATTCAGAGGGATTTTGTCTGGTCGTTATATATAACTGTAAGTGTATAATGATGTTCACTGTTAAGATTTATTTATTGGATTTATATTAAAATATTTTTTTTTTAAAATTGTAATAAGTTATTATAAAAATATTTTAATTTTTAATTTTAAAAAAATAATTTAAATAAATATTAAATAAATATTAAAAAAAATAATAAATAAAAAATAAAAACTAGCCACTTCAGAGTTTTTTGTCTGGTCGTTTATATATATTTGTAAGCGTATAATCTGATGTTCAATGTAATTATATTTATTTAATATATTTTAATTTATATTTAATTTAAATTGTAATTTTTATTACAAATTAATTTTTTTAATATTTAAAAAAATAATTAAATATATATTAAATATAAATGTAAAATTTAAAAAAAATAGAAAACCATTACTTATATTTTGTTTGGTTTTATATATATTGTAAGCGTATAATCTATGTTTTGTTAAGATTTATTTATTGGATTTTAAAATATTTCATTTAAAATTAATAGTTTATTATTAAAAATTTAAGTTACTATATTAATTTAAAATTATAATTTAAATAAATATTAAATTAAATATTAAAAAAAATACAAATAAAAAATAGAAAACTAGCCACTTAGAGGGATTTTGTCTGGTCGTAAATATATACTATAAGCGTATAATCTGATTTCAATGTAAATATTTATTTTAATGGATTTAAAATTTTTAATTTAAATTTAATAGTTTATTACAAATATTTAAGTTATATATATTTAAAAAAAATAATTTAAATAAATATTAAAGTATAAATGTAAAAAAAAAAAAATAGAAAACCATTACTTCAGAGGGATTTTGTTTTATTTCGTAAAATTGTATATAAATACTGTAAGTGTATAATCTATGTTCACTGTTAAGATTTTATTTATTTATTTAAAATATTTCATTTAAATTGTAATAGTTTTATTTAAAAATTTAAGTTACTATTTTTTATAAAAAAATAATTTATTTTTAAATAGTTATATTAAAATTAAATATTTAAAAAAAAAATACAAATAAAAAATAGAAAACTAGCCACTTCAGAGGGATTTTGTTGGTCGTCTAATATATACTGTAAGCGTATAATCTGATGTTCAATGTAAATATTTAATTTTTTATGGATTTAAAATTTTTTAATTTAAATTGTAATAGTTATTACAAATATTTAATTAATATTTTAAAAAAAAATTAATTTAAATAAATATTAAAGTATAAATGTAAAAAAAAAAAAAATAGAAAACCATTACTTCAGAGGGATTTTGTTTGGTCGTCTGTATAATACTGTAAGCGTATAATTAAAATGTTCAATGTTAATAATTTATTTATTGGATTTTAAAATATTTCATTTAAATTGTAATAAGTTATTAAAAAAAATTTAAGTTACTATTTAAAAAAAATAATTTAAATAAATATTAAAGTAAATATGTAAAAAAAATACAAATAAAAAATAGAAAACTAGCCACTTCAGAGGGATTTTGTCTGGTCGTCTGTATATACTGTAAGCGTATAATCTGATGTTCAATGTAAATATTTATTTAATGGATTTAAAATATTTAATTTAAATTGTAATAGTTTATTACAAATATTTAAGTTAATATTTAAAAAAAAATAATTTAAATAAATATTAAAGTAAATATGTAAAAAAAAAAAAAAAAATAGAAAACTAGCCACTTCAGAGGGATTTTGTTTGGTCGTCTGTATATACTGTAAGCGTATAATCTGATGTTCACTGTTAAGATTTATTTATTGGATTTTAAAATATTTCATTTAAATTGCAATAGTTATTACAAAAATTTAAGTTACTATTTTAAAAAAAATAATTTAAATAAATGTTAAAGTAAAATATGTAAAAAAAAAATACAAATAAAAAATAGAAAACTAGCCACTTCAGAGGGATTTTGTCTGGTCGTCTGTATATACTGTAAGCGTATAATCTGATGTTCAATGTAAATATTTATTTAATGGATTTAAAATATTTAATTTAAATTGTAATAGTTATTACAAATATTTAAGTTAATATTTAAAAAAAAATAATTTAAATAAATATTAAAGTAAATATGTAAAAAAAAAAAAAAATAGAAAACCAGCCACTTCAGAGGGATTTTTGTTTGGTCGTCTATATATACTGTAAGTGTATAATCTGATGTTCACTGTTAAGATTTATTTATTGGATTTTAAAAATATTTCATTTAAATTGCAATAGTTATTACAAATATTTAAGTTAATAGTTTATAAAATCATTTTCTACAAACATTTCCTGCTTAGAATGGACCTAAAAGGGACAATATTGTAAATAATTTACCAAATGGAAGTACTTGTCAGTGTCCAGGTCTTTCGCTGAAACAAAAAAAGACAAAAAAGCCTTTAAGATTAAAAAAAAACAAAGAAAAAAAAAAAAAATAAATAAATAATCAAAAACAAAAAAAATAATTAAAAAAAAACAAAAAAAACAAAAACAAAGAAAACACAGTTAAAAGAAAGCCTGCTCAGGTAATCTATATTTTCCATCACTCACTGCAGCCAGATTCAGCAGGTTTTTCACAAGGCTCTTGAGCAGACCTCCCACTGAGGATTCCAGTGAGCAGCACACCGGATGCAATTTGTGCAGTCGGGGCCGTTGGGGTGGTCAGGATGCTGGTCGTCACATGAATTTCTTGATTGATTCAGAAAAGGACCCTTGCGCTCTGTGTGGAAGCAGTGGTCCCTCTGCAGAGATGCGGATACACCCCCCCCCCCCCCCCTCCCCCGCTGAGTCAGACCCAGGGGTGGACTGATCATTTTGGAAACTCGGTTTCCGGTGCGTTTTGCACAAGTGAAAATGGACATGTGACTCAAAAAAACGCACCAAAAACATAACCACAGGTGTGTTTCTGCTGCATCTTCCATTCATTTTAATGGGGAGGTGCATTTTTTTTTTACCGCACCAAAAATGCAGCAAGCGGGGCAATGATCCTGCAACTGCCCGGTGTGAGCGTTCCACAGAATTTAATGGTCATGCGGTTTTCTTCTTCCACTTTTTTTTTTAATGCAAAAAAGTGTGAAAGCTCCTCCCCTTCAGCCTTGGAGTTGTAGCGGCTCCTCCCCTTCAGCCTTGGAGTTGTAGCGGCTCCTCCCCTTCAGCCTTTGGAGTTGTAGCGGCTCCTTCTGTTCAGTCTTGGAGTTGTAGCAGCTCCTCCCCTTCAGACTTGGAGTTGTAGCAGCTCCTACCCTTCAGACTTGGAGTTGTAGCGGCTCCTACCCTTCAGACTTGGAGTTGTAGCGGCTCCTTCCCTTCAGTCTTGGAGTTGTAGCGGCTCCTACCCTTCAGACTTGGAGTTGTAGCGGCTCCTTCCCTTCAGTCTTGGAGTTGTAGCGGCTCCTCTCCTTCAGCCTTGGAGTTGTAGCGGCTCCTTCCCTTCAGTCTTGGAGTTGTAGCGGCTCCTACCCTTCAGACTTGGAGTTGTAGCAGTTCCTACCCTTCAGCCTTGGAGTTGTAGCGACTCCTCCCCTTCAGACTTGGAGTTGTAGCGGCTCCTCCCCTTCAGACTTGGAGTTGTAGCGGCTCCTTCCCTTCAGTCTTGGAGTTGTAGCGGCTCCTCCCCTTCAGTTGTGGAGTTGTAGCGGCTCCTCCCCTTCAGTCTTGGAGTTGTAGCGGCTCCTCCCCTTCAGACTTGGAGTTGTAGCGGCTCCTCCCCTTCAGTCTTGGAGTTGTAGCGGCTCGTCTCCTGGACTGGAATAGCTATTGATGATTGTCCTCTGATGTCACTGCACACTGTGAGCTTCTCACAATGTGCATTAGAAGCTGCAGTAAGTCAGATAGAGCTCCGCCTCGTTGCCAGGCTGGAGGATGTCCAGCATCATCAAGGCCTTTCCTCCCCAGCCTGACTGTCCCTGGCCCCGCCCCTTTCATGAATTACGTTCTTTCAATCAATATCACATGCCCTGTTTTCAGCAAGCTATGTACAGCACTCTGATGCCCCCTGCTCCCCCTTCAGCCATAATCTGCCTGCATTGCATAGAGAACTACAGAGACCCAGTGCTACCATAGAGCACACAAGGAAAAGAAAAGGATTTGATAGAGAAATGTCATTAATGTGGATGAAGGGGGTGGAACCCAGGAGGATTAAACTTCTGCTTTGAAATCAGAGCCAATCAGAATGTGTCATATTTGACGGAACTGAACGCCGTTGTCGCAGCCATTGTGCCCCGCCCGGCCATGTGATTCTCAGCTCACCTCGCCCCAATGTGTTATCTCTCTGGTCCTTCAAGCTCATGGCCAACGAAGCTCCATCACAGACCTGTGAGATGGGAAAACAATGTCAGTCCGACATTTACTGCACACTGTGGGCTCGTCCTATACAGTCCCACTACTCCACGTGACCACGGAATGCAATCAGGGCCGTGGAGAAGGGGGGACCCCCAGTCCTCCAGTACGGGGCCCAGGCAACTGGGTGATTCAGATGTGGGCAGAGGGGGGTGATCGGCACGGTGGTGGTGGTGGTGGGGGGGAGGGGGTCAATGACTGGAACCGATCCCCTGTATGGATCTCTGCAGCAGCTGAAAGCCGGCTTCTTCTCCTCTCCCTCCCGCTGCCTTTCAGCTGCTGCAAAGAGAGCCATAATGGGAATCTAACCCCCCCACTGCACCCATCACCCTCCCTGGGTACAACACATGTTCCCTCTGCTGCCCTGGCCCCCCTGTGTGCCCCCACCCCCGCAGTGCTGCCGACTTCCCTTCCCATCGGTAGCTGCAAGCACACAATAGGATCCTTCAGAATGGAGAGTGGGGGAAGGGTCCAGGAAATATGTCACATTTACCAGCCCCTTCCTTTCCTGAACGAACACAATGAGTGATCAGTACCAATTGCTTGCTGTGTTCATTCATAATTGAAGCCTAGTAAACTGTGCTTATATTTGGGGAGGGGGGCCCTGTCATGTTGGCTGTATGGGGCACCGTGGTATCCGAATGTAGGGTCCAGGGAGACCAGATATAGTGAATGCAGGGTCCCGGGGAGACCAGATCTAGTGAATGCAGGGTCCGGGGAGACCAGATATAGTGAATGCGGGGTCCGGGGAGAGCAGATATAGTGAATGCAGGGTCCCCGGGAGACCAGATATAGTGAATGCGGGGTCCGGGGGAGAGCAGATATAGTGAATGCGGGGTCCGGGGAGACCAGATATAGTGAATGCAGGCTCCGGGGAGAGCGAATATAGTGAATGCAGGGTCCGGGGAGAGCGGATATAGTGAATGCAGGGTCCGGGGAGAGCGGATATAGTGAATGCAGGGTCCGGGGAGACCAGATATAGTGAATGCGGGGTCCAGGGATAGCGGATATAGTGAATGCAGGGTCCGGGGAGAGGGGATATAGTGAATGTGGGGTCCGGGGAGAGTGGATATAGTGAATGCGGGGTCCGGGGGGAGAGCGGATATAGTGAATGCAGGGTCTGGGGAGAGCGGATATAGTGAATGCGGGGTCTGGGGAGAGCGGATATAGTGAATGCGGGGTCTGGGGAGAGCGGATATAGTGAATGCGGGGTCTGGGGGGAGCGGATATAGTGAATGCGGGGTCTGGGGAGAGCGGATATAGTGAATGCGGGGTCTGGGGAGAGCGGATATAGTGAATGCGGGGTCTGGGGAGAGCGGGATATAGTGAATGCGGGGTCTGGGGAGAGCGGATATAGTGAATGCGGGGTCTGGGGGAGAGCGGATATAGTGAATGCGGGGTCTGGGGAGAGCGGATATAAGTGAATGCAGGGTCCGGGGAGACCAGATATAGTGAATGCAGGGTCCGGGGAGAGCGGATATAGTGAATGCAGGGTCTGGGGAGAGCGGATATAGTGAATGCGGGGTCCGGGGAGAGCGAATATAGTGAATGCGGGGTCCGGGGAGAGCGGATATAGTGAATGCGGGGTCTGAGGAGACCAGATATAGTGAATGCGGGGTCCGGGGAGACCAGATATAGTGAATGCGGGGTCCGGGGAGACGAGATATAGTGAATGCAGGGTCCGGGGGACCAGATATAGTGAATGCACGGTCCAGGGAGAGCGGATATAGTGAATGCGGGGTCCGGGGAGAGCGGATATAGTGAATGCGGGGTCCGGGGGGAGCGGATATAGTGAATGCGGGGTCCGGGGAGAGCGGATATAGTGAATGCGGGGTCCGGGGAGAGCGGATATAGTGAATGCGGGGTCCGGGGAGAGCGGATATAGTGAATGCGGGGTCCGGGGAGAGCGGATATAGTGAATGCGGGGTCCCGGGAGAGCGGATATAGTGAATGCGGGGTCCGGGGAGAGGGGATATAGTGAATGTGGGGTCGGGGAGAGCGGATATAGTGAATGCAGGGTCCGGGGAGAGCGGATATAGTGAATGCAGGGTCTGGGGAGAGCGGATATAGTGAATGCGGGGTCCGGGGAGAGCGGATATAGTGAATGCGGGGTCCGGGGGAGAGCGGATATAGTGAATGCGGGGTCCGGGGAGAGCGGATATAGTGAATGCGGGGTCCGGGGAGAGGGGATATAGTGAATGTGGGGTCCGGGGAGAGCGGATATAGTGAATGCAGGGTCCGGGGAGAGCGGATATAGTGAATGCAGGGTCTGGGGAGAGCGGATATAGTGAATGCAGGGTCTGGGGAGAGCGGATATAGTGAATGCAGGGTCTGGGGAGAGCGGATATAGTGAATGCGGGTCCGGGGAGAGCGGATATAGTGAATGTGGGGTCCGGGGAGAGGGGATATAGTGAATGTGGGGTCCGGGGAGAGCGGATATAGTGAATGCAGGGTCCGGGGGGAGAGCGGATATAGTGAATGCAGGGTCTGGGGAGAGCGGATATAGTGAATGCAGGGTCTGGGGAGAGCGGATATAGTGAATGCGGGGTCCGGGGGAGAGCGGATATAGTGAATGCGGGGTCCGGGGAGACCGGATATAGTGAATGCAGGGTCTGGGGAGAGCGGATATAGTGAATGCGGGGTCCGGGGAGAGCGGATATAGTGAATGCGGGGTCCGGGGTTTAGTAACACTTTACGTTTTTATAAATACACCCCCATTGTAGTACACTGATCCTTTTCGGACCTTGTCGTTTCTATTCTCTTTCTCAGGGTGATAGGAGGGTCTCTGCACTGAGTACACTGCAGCTGCCCCTCCTCCATAGTACTGATCCCACACTGGATTCCCCGCACTATCCTTCTATGGAATCACCAGTCTATGGGAGGTTCTGGTGAACGCACGTCTTCCTGTCTTTAGGTTCTCTTAGAATAATAAATCTTTGAACACAGAATCTTCCAGATGTCAATTATTAATATACGTTTTATTCATTATAGAATTCTAAAAATATGACACACAAGAATACAGGAACAACATGTGCCGCCATTGTGGCTTTAGCTGGAGGCAAAAAAAAAAACACTAAAAAAATAAAACATTTTGCACAATACCAATTTTAACCTCTTCCCTCCCGCCTTTGGTGTTCCCTTTAAAAGTTCTAAAAGTGTTACCAACCCCCCAGCAGTAAAATCAGTCTGTAGATGCAGCAAAGCATGCTGGTTATACTCACTGTGGAATCTAAGGGGTTAATCCTCTGCATTGTGTAAAAAGGCTGTTTGATCCTGTCTTCAATGATCCTCCCCTTCTACTACTGTCCCCAATCCATCTGATGATAGTACCAAGCCCTAGGAGGCACTCTGCGCATGCTCAGTTTTGGTGTGTAATGCTAGAGAGGTTTGTTTTATTTTTCCTTGGGAGAGTGCATGTGATCAGCACAGGGCCAATCAACACAGTCCAAACAGATGTCATGGGTTCTGCATCCTCCTAGAGCAGAATGAAAATGCCTACAAGTTTTAACCAGTGCTCAGCTGAACACTGATAGAAGTCACAAGACTGCTATATACTGCTGATGAGAGAAGGTATTTAGCAGTTTACATTTACTACAATAATTGCATTTCCATGTTCTGTGTACTGTGGGAGACCAGATATAGTGAATGCGGGGTCCGGGGAGACCAGATATAGTGAATGCGGGGTCCGGGGAGAGCAGATATAGTGAATGCAGGGTCCGGGGAGACCAGATATAGTGAATGCGGGGGTCCGGGGAGAGCAGATATAGTGAATGCGGGGTCCGGGGAGAGGGGATATAGTGAATGCAGGGTCCGGGGAGAGCAGATATAGTGAATGCAGGGTCCGGGGAGAGCGGATATAGTGAATGCGGGGTCCAGGGAGAGCGGATATAGTGAATGCGGGGTCCGGGGAGAGCGGATATAGTGAATGCAGGGTCCGGGGAGAGCAGATATATGTGAATGCAGGGTCCGGGGAGAGCAGATATAGTGAATGCGGGGTCCGGGGAGAGCGGATATAGTGAATGCAGGGTCCGGGGGAGCGGATATAGTGAATGCAGGGTCTGGGGAGAGCGGATATAGTGAATGCAGGGTCCGGGGAGACCAGATATAGTGAATGCGGGGTCTGGGGAGAGCGGATATAGTGAATGCGGGGTCCGGGGAGAGCAGATATAGTGAATGCGGGGTCCGGGGAGAGCGGATATAGTGAATGCGGGGTCCAGGGAGAGCGGATATAGTGAATGCGGGGTCCGGGGAGAGTGGATATAGTGAATGCAGGGTCCTGGGAGACCAGATATAGTGAATGCGGGGTCCAGGGAGACCGGATATAGTGAATGCAGGGTCCTGGGAGACCAGATATAGTGAATGCGGGGTCCGGGGAGAGCGGATATAGTGAATGCGGGGTCCGGGGGAGAGTGGATATAGTGAATGCAGGGTCCTGGGAGACCAGATATAGTGAATGCGGGGTCCGGGGAGAGCGGATATAGTGAATGCGGGTCCGGGGAGAGCAGATATAGTGAATGCAGGGTCCAGGGAGAGCGGATATAGTGAATGTGGGGTCCGGGGGAGACCAGATATAGTGAATGCGGGGTCCGGGGAGACCGGATATAGTGAATGCAGGGTCCGGGGGAGACCAGATATAGTGAATGCGGGGTCCGGGGAGAGCGGATATAGTGAATGCAGGGTCCTGGGAGACCAGATATAGTGAATGCGGGGTCCGGGGAGAGCGGATATAGTGAATGCGGGGTCCGGGGAGAGCGGATATAGTGAATGCGGGGTCCGGGGAGAGCGGATATAGTGAATGCGGGGTCCGGGGAGAGCGGATATAGTGAATGCGGGGTCCGGGGAGAGCGGATATAGTGAATGCAGGGTCGGGGAGAGGGGATATAGTGAATGCAGGGTCGGGGAGAGCGGATATAGTGAATGCAGGGTACAGGGAGAGCGGATATAGTGAATGCGGGGTCCGGGGAGACTGGATATAGTAAATGCGGGGTCCGGGGAGAGCGGATATAGTGAATGCGGGGTCCGGGGGGGAGAGCGGATACACTGAATGCGGAGTCCGGGAGAATGGATATAGTGAATGCGGGGTCCGGGGTTTAGTAACACTTTATTGTTTGGGGGGGTTTGGAAGGATCAGTGATCATGTGACCATTGTGACTGCGGCATGGGTACAGATCTGAGTGGCTGTATTTCTGTATTCAGGTTGGGCAGTTGGGGGGCGATAGACCCCTGGCCACCCATCACAATTGACAGTTCTTATGGGAAACTTTTCCACATCTTAATCAAGCCCTGACGAAGGGGGTTGTTTGGCCCCGAAATGCGTTGGAAACATTCTATCTTCTTGTTGCCTCATTTTGTGGACTAATGGATGTTTATGGACTCATAAGGTGCCGACCAACCAAATGACAAAGGATCTGAGTCCAGCGCTTCATATTCATCTTTTCTGATACATTTAGCTGGCAGCAGGATACCGAGGAGTCCAAGTCACTATAATGGTTCCCAACGCGTTTCAGGGGCCAAACCACTCCCCTTCCTCAGGGGCCGAACACCACAAAATGGACTTCAGAGCATGTTTTACTATAATGATCTGCACAGCCTGACCATGAATGGACCGGAGGGGTCAGTGTTGGGATCAATGTGGTTAATGGCGGTACCTTGTAATGTGACAGCGTGTTCAGCTTCTTCCTTCCGTCCTCCATGAGTGACGTATCATCCAGATCTCGTAGGATGAAGCGTTGGGAAATGGAGGCGAACCATTCTGCAGAGGAAGAAGATGTAAACGTGAACGCCCGAACATGAACGGCTCGTTGTCGATCTTCACCGTCTCCGCCTTCCGCACCGCCAACGATTTGGATTTAAGCTGCTGTGTGTGGCCACCCTGAGCAAGGAAAAACATAGCGCATCTTCCCTGATGCTGCCAGAGCCTCCACTGATCCTTTGTAGGCTGTGCTGTCCGATAAGTGTCATCTGTCCCCGCAAAACGAAAAAAATTCACTTCCTGTCTTGGTGTCACCAGAAAAGGAAGTGTGGGTAAATCTGACAACAGCAATAAAAAACCTGACAGAGGCTCTAATCCTTCCTCACTTGTATCAAAACTAAAATGAAACTTTTGTCTTTGGACCTGAGCTTTAATTCCAAAGGTTGATTGAGGTTTGCCGACTGATTAAAATCAATTAACAGGGCGGGACAAGGGGTGGGTAAGAGGGGCAGGTGCCCAGGGAGCAGTGATGGTGGTGGGAGGGGGGGACCCTCACCACACACAAGGTCCGGAGCAATGGCTAGAAAAACAGTGTCAGTGGGAGGAATAGTGCCCCATCATTGGTGTCAGTGGGAGGAATAGTGCCCATCATTGGTATCAGTGGGAGGAATAGTGCCCCATCATTGGTGTCAGTGGGAGGAATAGTGCCCCATCATTGGTGTCAGTGGGAGGAATAGTGCCCATCATTGGTATTGGGAGGAATAGTGCCCCATCATTCATCAGTGGGAGGAATAGTGCCCCATCATTGGTGTCATGGAGGAATAGTGCCCCATCATTGGTGTCAGTGGGAGGAATAGTGCCCATCATTGGTGTCAGTGGGAGGAATAGTGCCCATCATTGGTGTCAGTGGGAGGAATAGTGCCCCATCATTGGTGTCAGTGGGAGGAATAGTGCCCCATCATTGGTGTCAGTGGGAGGAATAGTGCCCCATCATTGGTGTCAGTGGGAGGAATAGTGCCCCATCATTGGTGTCAGTGGGAGGAATAGTGCCCCATCATTGGTGTCAGTGGGAGGAATAGTGCCCCATCATTGGTGTCAGTGGGAGGAATAGTGCCCCATCATTGGTGTCAGTGGGAGGAATAGTGCCCCATCATTGGTGTCAGTGGGAGGAATAGTGCCCCATCATTGGTATCAGTGGGAGGAATAGTGCCCCATCATTGGTGAATCAGTGGGAGGAATAGTGCCCCATCATTGGTGTCAGTGGGAGGAATAGTGCCCCATCATTGGTGTCAGTGGGAGGAATAGTGCCCCATCATTTGGTATCAGTGGGAGGAATAGTGACCCATCATTGGTGTCAGTGGGAGGAATAGTGCCCCATCATTGGTGTCAGTGGGACGAATAGTGCCCCATCATTGGTGTCAGTGGGGGGGAATAGTGCCCCATCATTGGTGTCAGTGGGGGGGAATAGTGCCCCATCATAGGTGTCAGTGGGAGGAATAGTGCCCCGAATATCATTGGTGTCAGTGGGAGGAATAGTGCCCCATCATTGGTGTCAGTGGGAGGAATAGTGCCCCATCATTGGTATCAGTGGTAGGAATAGTGCCCATCATTGGTGTCAGTGGGAGGAATAGTGCCCCATCATTGGTGTCAGTGGGAGGAATAGTGCCCCATCATTGGTGTCAGTCATTGGGAGTGGGGAATAGTGCCCCATCATTGGTGTCAGTGGGAGGAATAGTGCCCCATCATTGGTGTCAGTGGGAGGAAATAGTGCCCCATCATTGGTGTCAGTGGGAGGAATAGTGCCCATCATTGGTATCAGTGGGAGGAATAGTGCCCCATCATTGGTGTCAGTGGGAGGAATAGTGCCCATCATTGGTGTCAGTGGGAGGAATAGTGCCCCATCATTGGTGTCAGTGGGAGGAATAGTGCCCCATCATTGGTATCAGTGAATCGGAGGAATAGTGCCCCATCATTGGTATCAGTGGGAGGAATAGTGACCCATCATTGGTGTCAGTGGGAGGAATAGTGCCCCATCATTGGTGTCAGTGGGACGAATAGTGCCCCATAATTGGTGTCAGTGGGACGAATAGTGCCCCATCATTGGTGTCAGTGGTACGAATAGTGCCCCATCATTGGTGTCAGTGGGGGGGAATAGTGCCCCATCATTGGTGTCAGTGGGGGGGAATAGTGCCCCATCATTGGTGTCAGTGGGAGGAATAGTGCCCCATCATTGGTGTCAGTGGGAGGAATAGTGCCCCATCATTGGTGTCAGTGGGAGGAATAGTGCCCCATCATTGGTGTCAGTGGGAGGAATAGTGCCCCATCATTGGTGTCAGTGGGAGGAATAGTGCCCAAGAACACAGATGTCACACATTGCATCTTACCGGTCCTCATGTGTGGTGGGTGAATTTGTTTTCTTTTTTTTTTATGCTTTTTTTCCCCCTTTACTTTCACCTGGTTATGCTGTCAGTAACATCTTTCCTGTTCAAGGGTGACAACCCTCCCTGTACTTTGTCTATGGAGAAGCGGCGTTGTCACTCTCGAACAGGAGGTGTTGTTTAGATTGGAAATCAACTCCCGCTCACTTCCATAATACAAGGGGAGGGGAGGTGGTCTGTAGTCCACAGGGGAGGGACCAGTCAGGGCTGGATGAGAGAACACGCGGAAGGTGACACTCACCCAAATCCACATCCTCCACCTGAGGCCACTGAGAATAGGGCAGGTTCTTGCAGAACGCCTCCAGGATCTTCTCTTTGCATTGGCTGATGGTGTCGGTGTCCAACACGCGCACGCTCAGCGAGTCCATGCCGCAACCCTGGAACGACACGTTGAGGTTCTGCCAAGAGAGGGTGTCAGAGAGAGTTACCCGGGATGTCTGAGCCGGACACAGAATACCAAACACCCCAGACTGGGCGTCATCAATGGCCTTCCCTTTACAGCCCAGTCACACTTATTGCGACTTGTCATGCCACTCTGGGGTCCAAAGTCACATGACAAGTCGCCCCCCCCCCCCCCCCCCCCATGTTTCCCAATGAGTACCATATATATCTGTGTCGCAGCGACTTCAAAGTAGTTCCTCCACTACTTTGGTCCGACTTTCATGTGACGTGAGGGCCATAGACTTCAATGTAAACCCTCCAAAGTCGCATGATAAGTCGCCCCCCCCCCCGCCGCATGTTTCCCAATGGGTACCATACATATCTATGTGACCTCAAAGTAGTTCCTGCACTACTTTGGTCCATGTGACTTGATGGCCATGGACTTCAATGTAAACCCTCCAAAGTCGCATGATAAGTCCCCCCCCTCCCATGTTTCTCAATGGGTACCATACATATCTATGCGACTTCAAAGTAGTTCCTGCACTACTTTGGTCCATGTGACTTGATGGCCATGGACTTCAATGTAAACCCTCCAAAGTCGCATGAAAGTCGCACCTGAATGTTGTACATGCGACTTGTACGCGACTTTGTACAGCAGAAACAATTATGTTCGGTCAAAGTTGCGTCAAAGTCGCACTGTAAAGTCGCAATGAAAATCGCAGGATTCTGAAGTCGCACAAGTGTGAATGGACACTTGCTCCATGCTGTCTGCAGAAGCAAGTTGTCTCTTGACTGCATATTCCTGTCAAAAACTGATTCCTGACTGCCTCTGTGAACTGCTGGAGAGAAAGCCAAGCACCAGGCGGAAGGTGGGACATACAGGGAAAATGAGCTGCTGATTTCTACCTGTTTCAAGAGACAACCTAAGTTAGTAAGTATTCAGCAAGAGCTCCTTTATTTGTTTCTGATTGGCTATCTCTGATGAAATACTGGAGAGAAATTCGAGCACTAGGCGGAAGGAGGAGCACACAGGGATACAGGCAGCTGACTTGCATCGGTTTCTAGAGACAACTCAGCTAGTAAATTGTCTCCTGGATACATTCAGCAAGAACTTCTCTACTTGTTTCTGATTGGCTGTCTCTGATGAAGTAATGGAGAGAAATCTGAGCACTAGGCAGAAGGTGGGACATACAGGGAAAATAAGCAGCTGATTTCTACCTGTTTCGAGAGACAACCTAAGTTAGTAAGTATTCAGCAAGAGTTCCTTTACTTGTTTCTGATTGGCTGTCTCTGATGCACTGGAGAGAAACCCGAGCACTAGGCGGAAGGAGGGACACACAGGGATACAGGCAGCTGACTTGCATCTGTTTCAAGAGACAACTCAGCTATTACGTTGTCTCCTGGATACAATCAGCAAGAACTCCTCTACTTATTTCTGATTGGCTTTCTCTGTTGAACTGCTGGAGAGAAAGCCAAGCACCAGGTGGAAGGGGGAAAGCAAGGAAAATAAGCTGCCGACTTGCATCTGTTTCAAGAGACATCTTAGCTAATTAGTTGTCTCTTGGCTACATTCGAAAAGAACACCTCTACCGCTGTCTCAGCTCATCTGCTGGAGAGAAAGCAAAGCAGCAAGCGGAAGGAGGGGCACACAAAAAAAAAAATCAGCTGACCTGCATCTGTTTCAAGAGGCTACTTAGCTAGTACATTGTATGCAGACTCTTGGCTACCTTCAGCAAGAACTCCTCTACTGCTTTCTGACTGGCCGTCTCTGCTGAACTACGGGAGAGGAAGCCAAGCACCAGGCAGAAGGAAGGACACCCATGGAAAACAAGCAGCTGACTCACATCTGTTTCAAGAGACGACTAAGCCTTTAAGCTTTTTTTTTTTGGAAATTTTCAGCAATAACAGCTTTCTGATTGTGTCTGGAGACAAAGCCGAGCAAGAGATAGTATTTAGGTTGTCAGAAGGCCACACAGGAAGAAATAGCAGCCGACTTGCATCTGTTTCAAGAGGCAACTCAGCTGTTAGCAAGACACAGACACCCTGTTATACAGGCCATAGACGGGTTGAAAACGAAAAATCGGTCGATCGGCCGACGTTACCACCAACGGTAACAAAATCAGCTGATTTTCGTCCCATCTACGGCCGGCATTTAACCCCATAATTACTTCTGTCCCTGCAGAGAGCTTCACTATTATATTTGACATGAAAAAGTCTTGCGGTTGCAACAATGTATCCATTTGTATCCATTTCAGATACAGATGGTTTTATTTGGATACAAATAGATACATTGTTGCAACCGCAAGACTTTTCATATAAAATATAATAGCGGACTGGACTTCTTCTTTTTCTTCCTCCACGTCACGGCTCATGCGCAGATTTTTTTATCGCTAAAACGATCATTGCCGGGAAAATCGTCCAATCGTCAAAATCGGCTGCGAATTTTCCAACTTTACCGACAAAAAAAATGTGCCAAAACCCAAAAAAAAAAAAAACGGCCGACCAATTAACCCACTAATGGTGCAAAAATCGGCCAATTTTTGACCCATCTATGGCCGGCATTACTGTTCAAAGGTGTTAATAATATTATACTGATTTCTGATTCTTTTGGGCTGACAGCAATTATTTGCGATTGTCAGAAAAAAAAAAAAAAAAGTTGGGACTATGAAAGCAGTAGCACATCCCACCTACAGGGGGGCAATGCTACCCTCCAAACAGCAGCTGACTTGCATCTGTTTCAAGAGGCAGCTCAGCTGTTAGTACAACACAGGCTTCCTGTTACTATTTCGAGGATGTCAGTGTTGTACTAACATCAGTTCTTTTAGGACCATCAGCAATGATTTGTGACTGCCTGAAAAAAAGGTTGATATTAGAGACTACGAATGCAGTAACCCCTTCCCACCCACAGAGGGCAATACTACCATTTACAGTACTTACCTTAACCCCTTCACGCCTGAGGGTAAAACAAATGTAAATGCCTAAGCACAATTCTGCAACGTTGACATGTGATAGTAAAACCGTACATATCATCACAACTACTTCGTACATCCGAGTGGATTATACCACAGTTTTTTCAGGACAAATTGGGCTTTCATTTGGTGGTAAATGGTAATGGATATCTCCTGATTTTTTTTTTATTATCAAACTGGCCCGAAATAGTAAAAAAAAAAATCATTTTTTTTTATTTAGCTGTGTGTTTCTTGTTACTACCGAAACCTACCACCAAAGAACAACCCAAAATAAATTCTCCAGCTCCTGACGATCGCAGCGATACCATCTATGTGTGTGTTATTTGTTGTTTGTACCCGTAGTACCACCCAGAAACAATAGTGCGCATTTTGTTTTTGTCTTTTTTTTTTACCTGAAACACACTAACACTAACTGACACTGATACCAATTATTTTTTTAAATTCCGACCTTTGACCCTGACCTAAACACTAACCCTGGCACTGAACTAGCAAACTGTCAGCACTATATATGTCCTGTATAATAATCTAGGTATTTTTCTTTATTTTTTAATATTTTATCTTTTTTTTAAAAAATTTTTTTTTAACAAACATTTTTTTTTCTCTCTATGCCAGAAGTTAGAGAGATACAATGTATCTCTCTTCTCCATTCATAGAGAGAGAAAAAAAACAAGGGGGCCGGGCTGCACAGTGACTGATCACTGTGATAGCCAATCAGAGGTTATCACAGCGATCATGTGACCTAGGACCGGGAGTCCCGGGTCCTGATCGTTAGAACGGGACCCGTTGCTCTCAGTGATACCGCGGTCTCAGTGCTGGGAGCGTGCCGAGCTGCGCGCCCCCAGCACAAAGACAGGTACGCAAATATGCGGCCCCACAGAAAAAAGCCCAGTTCCGTGAGGCCGCATATTTGTGTGACGTCGGCGGGAAGGGGTTGAATTCCAAATATTAGAATTAATGAACACAAATTTAAAATCCAGCCACCACATTATTTAAAAAATGAAATAAAAAAAAAATTAAAATGTGTGTATATATATATATATATATATATTTATTTACAAACAGGTGGGGCACTGATGAAGCCTGTAGAACAGCAGGCTCTGAAACGCGTTGCCACCCTCCATTATACAATGAAGTAGTTTTGAAAGCCCCAAAAGGGCGAACGGCTCCTACAATCTGGGCTACATGTATGTAGTTCACCTTGCCCCTTTTAGTATTATTATTATTATTATAATACAGTATTTCTATAGCGAAAACAGTTCGATTAGAGCTTTACAATATAATGGGAGGTAACACATGAGACAGTACAATAACAATGCGATACACAGGGGGTTCAAGGGCCCTGCTCCTTGGAGCTTGCATTCTAGGAGGGAGGGGATAGTGGTATGGGAGGAATAGCTGTGGGGGATGGAGTGGTAGGAGGAGTGGAGGAGGTCGGCAAGTTAGCAGGGGGTGGGGTAGGCTTCCCTAAAGAGGTGGGTTTTCAGGGTGCGCCTAAAGGAGAGGAGAGTAGGTGATAATCTGATGGGTTGGGGCAGGGAGTTCCAGAGGATGGGTGACACCCTGGAGAAGTCCTGGAGGCGGGCATGGGAGGAGGAGACCAGGGAACTAGAGAGAAGGAGGTCTTGTGAGGAGCGGAGTGTGCGTGTTGGGCGGTACTTGGATATTAGGTCAGTGATGTAGTTCGGGGCAGTATGGTGGACGGCTTTGTACGTCAGTGTTAGGATTTTGAATTTGATCCGTTGCGCAATTGGAAGCCAGTGGAGGGATTGGTAGAGGGGGGTGGAGGACACTGAGTGGAGGTCAGTGGAGGGATTGGCAGAGAGGGGTGGAGCCAGTGGAGGGATTGGCAGAGGGGGGTGAAGGACACTGAGTGGAGGCCAGTGGAGGGATTGGCAGAGGGGGGGGTGGCGGACACTGAGTGGAGGCCAGTGGAGGGATTGGCAGAGAGGGGTGGAGCCAGTGAA